TGTGTCCGTGCACCAGAGAACACACGCTTCCGATTAAAGTTTTGTTGATGACAGAACTGTGGAACTTTCCGTCGTTCACGGAATTGCTTTCTTTTTTGATTACAGCTTGATTTCAGCGTGCATATAGGTAGCCCAAAATTCCCAGGCCAACCATAGATATCAGGTGTGCCACCGACGCATTAATGCCATCCAATCGAAATCCATTTCAACGTCAATGAGGTCGAGGTACAGGGCTGAGAAGCATTGTAAAGATTCAGTTTGGTCTGCATTTGATTTGCTTTTCCTGCTTTTGGCCTGAGGTCTCTTGATCCATTTTCAGTGATTTCCGTGCCTTCCTGAATGGCTTTGATAAATTTCATGGAATTCAGGACTTGTCTTTTTCCACAAATTGGCGTTCACTAAATATTCGTAGTTGTCGGAAGTATTTTGGGATGGGTTGTAGGTTGAAATGTGTTCAGGAGTGGTTTGAAGTGAACAACCCGTTCTTTCTTTTGCTTCCACTCATGCACAACTGAGTACACTTCAATGTCTTTCATTTGTTTTAACGTTACTGATCTCTTCTCCAATAACGACTTGCGTCAAATACCCTAGTCGGAAAAGATCATGACTTTATCGCTGTCGTGCAGATCCAATCGCTACCACAGAAGATTACGTCCCGTAACTGACTTGAAATATCACAACACAGAATGGCGATTCAAGGATTCTTCATGTCTTCATTGACAATGAACCAGAACTACACGGTTGCTAAGCACTAAGTCTACGAATAGACATCAGCATAAATCACGATAATACCTCTGGTCAATTTTCTCCAGGTTTCCCTAAACTGCGCGCGATTATGCCACGGCCAACATGGCTTCCTCTTGCAAAAATTGAGGTCATTTCAAATAAACAAACTGCATGTTCCTTATTCAATATTTGTAAGCTACACATGATGCTAACCACATGATGCTAATTCACTATTCGTTAAGGGATTTGTAGTGTTGTTGGTAAGGAACATTTCACCAGCCCTTACTAAACGCGATTTACCTAGTTATCTGAAAATCCACTAATCTACCTAACTTGTCAGGACTGATGACAACACGCAAATCAAAAAGAACTAGTTAATTGGAGCCGTGTCCTGGTTGGCGGTATGTTTGAGTAGAATAAACGTCAAATTATCCAGTGAAAATGACAGCACAATGGAAATGTAAGGAAATGACGTTGGGTTCATTCCAAATGTGTCCATGTTCAAACGAAGTCCTCACGCTTGAGCAGCCGTACTATACTTCATCAACATTGACAACCTAGATAACCGACGGAGTGTTCCAGAGACTCTATTGCATGCAGCCGTTTAATGTGCCAGTTTTCAGTGTATTGTGTCATCGTCTTTTGTCCTTCGTAGCACTCTTCTTCACTTATGTTGTGAATGCGTTGTAAACTGAACTAAGATTCGCTAATCATTTCTCTCCTCTTTTAGATTCCACGTGAGAGTAAACAGCCAATCCTTGTCTTGGGTCTTCTTTTTTCCCGGAGTGTTTATATAGGTTCCATCCAACATTACTTTCACAGAATTCCAGTGTTCTTCCACACAGGTGTCCTCCCTGGTGCTACATAATATCTCTGTGATTGTGGTGATGGCTGTAATGAAGGTGGGATTTGTATTACTGGCCCTCAATTTCTGGGTGTTGAACTTGACTTCTGGTGTGAAGACACCAATGTCTCGTTCGTTTTTCCGACAGTCTCCCGACTTATCATGTTTTCTCTTCATCGCTAGCTCAATGTTTGGCTGGTACTCAAATCGTCCATTAGCATATTAATGTCGCCATTCGGTATCTATTTACAACTGTATGTAGAAGTCTCCCTGCCACTCGTTTTCGACGTTGTTTCTATTCGCATAGCACAGGATAGGTCTAAGTCTCCTGACTTCTGAGTTGATCCTTGATGTCATTATTCTGGAGGAGACTTTTTCCCACTTCCAAGCTATATCTTTCCACCTGTTTTCGATCTGAGCAGCCTTCTTAATTTCTGACTTCGTGTGAACATTCCATGTCCCCGTGTTTATTTTCACATTCATCGAAATTAGACACATGGAGTGACTTCCTGCAGAAAGCCTTCACCACACCACGTCATTTTCTCCCTCCCATCCTAGCGAAGAAGAGTTTTGACTTTTTTGTATTATATTGTCCTTTGTGGCTCCTGTAGTGATTGGGTTGATTTACAGACATAAGGTCACTGGACTTAGGATCAACTAGTGAACCAGGAAGGGTTACTACCGAGTGAGTGGCATACATTACTCAAAGCAGTAGCTAAAGCTAAAACAATGAGTCCAACACTAACTCTGTACTTCCACATGAATCATACTTTGACAACAAATAGCCAGTAAGCCTGATTGTGAGGAGTTTTTCATCTCACCACCAACCATCTTAAACGACCGCTACACAACTGCCTAATCAAAGGGGAGGCTGTTTCGATGTGATCGTGTGAAAGGCCGAAGTTTCATATCTAAGTGTGAAGGTGATTATGAAGCATGCATAAGTCAATCATATTGGTAAAATCCTCGAATACAAAGTAAATAGGTAGATTTCGATATACCCAGAATATTGGTGTATCAGAGAATGAATTACAACTGACAGTCCAGACGTATAGAGGAGAGGATACACGGTATCTCAAATCAAACTTTCCACGAATTCTGTTCAGTATATTGATTTAAGCTGAGCGGAGGTGGTCAGTTACGGTCTGGATTTCCTCAGGTACTTGATTTCGTATTACGGGCCTGGGTGAATGCTGTAGTCATATCAGATGTTGCGTCTGGCACTTTCGAACGTGTCCTATCAACCATTTTACGTATACAGACTATCTCTTTCGACGCTTTCTGTACTGTGCGCGAAAACCTAACGACAGCCTTTAACCGCACTCTAAGCACAGTATTCCGTCTACTCAATAGGTGCGTTTTTCTGTACAATGAACTTAAATTTCCAGTTCATCAATGAAATATATACACAATCCGATGGTGTTTCCATGGGATCTTTCATTACCAGGCCCGATCCTAACAGATATTTTCCCAGGAAAACTGGAGAATATTCCTTTTAAAGATGTAATATACAATCATAATTTCTTTTGGCGATATGTTGACGATAAATTCATTGTTGTCAAGAGCGCAAGTGATACTAAGGACATATTGAATCAATTCAATAGAGCCCATCCTAGCATAAGGAAGAAGAAAAAGAAAATAATCCTATCCACTTTTTAGACGTCCTAGTGTGTAAACTTACGGATGGAACAATATGTAGACGTTTATATAGAAAGCCTACTTCCACTGGACATTATGCTCACTTCCTGAGCTTCCTATCTCTACAATAAAAGCGTATTATGGTTAGAAGTCTGGTTCACCGGGCTAAAAATATCTGTTCAAATGAGACACTTAACGAACAACTCGGTAATATTCGCGATCTACTAAGTAGAAACGGATATCCAAATAAATTCGCGAACAAACACATGAACTCTAAAACGTAGAAGTTTCCAACTATCCCCTACAATTTAGTCTTCCTAAGGTTACAATTCGTGGGTGATTTCAATGGTGAGATCTTATCACAACATCTGAGAAGGGCCTTCAGAAGAACTTTCAACGCAGCTAACGTATTCACTGATCGACCAATACTTGGTTCAAGAAGTGAAGACATACTGCCCAGTTTCACCTCCTCCATTTATGTTTACCAGTTTAAATGTCCGTACGGGGCTAGTTACATAGGGGGTACGACCAGGCCACTTCATAGTCGAATTAATGAACACCTCCCATCTTGATTTGGCAAAGGTTCAAATAAAGCTATATGCAGCTCAATATTAGTTCATCTCGTCGATACTGGACGTCGAATCGAGTCCAACAAAGCTTTTAAAGTTATTTATCGTATACCACAACCTGAAGTGCTACACCTCTGTACCAAGCTCTGTGTTGAAACTCAGTCAGTCAGTCAGTCAGTGTGTAGTAAAATAATCACCTTCATCCTTTAATTATTAAATAGTCCACAGTCAAATGATGTTCGAAATTGTGCACTTGTGTGTACAGATTGAATTGTCTTGTTTAGTTGAACGAAGACGTTCGAGTACATATTTCCTGTTGCTTTCATTCACACTGGGTTGTATCGCAACTACACGATACGCTGGCTACTGTTGCGATGTGAAATTAGCTTCTGTTATCTGTATTTACTAAAATGCTGGCGTAACTGATGACCGAGTCAAAGACCAAGCCGTAGCTGTTTTTCTCACTTATTCTTTATTAGAAGTGGAATTTCTTAGCAGCTAGGAAATCGTTAATGTTATTATGTCTGGATTTCGATGCTGGGGAGCAATGTCAAATACAGTCTTTGTTATCTGGTGTAGACTCATATTCACTGCAAACCTGGCAAATGCTTTTGCTTCAACTGTAACACGTTTCTAAAATATTATTATCTTGTCTAATCTGACTTCAGAATACGTCATGTTTTAGTGATATCAGGCATTAATTTGTTGTGCTCTGTCTATTTCGTTTATTTGGTGTAGTGCAGTAGCCTACTAGAGAATTGTAAAATGTCTTTTCTATTGTCGCAGAACTGGTGATACTTAAACATCAAGCGTGTCAACTTCGCCTTGACTACTGAGATATTTGCAACGTGTGAAAACAGTGAAACAAACTTAGTGTTCTAGGGACATTTAGCACATGATTTCTACCAGTAATGCATGTGTGTGTGCGTGTCTTTGTTATTTTATGTGAACAGCTGAATATTTACAAAGAACACATCGTGAGATATTTCTCTTGGATATCGTGTGGTTATTTTATTTGATATATTGAAGTGCATATTTCATAAATATAAGTTCAGACATATGTGGATATATGTATATAAATATATTAGGAAGTAAATAACATGAAAACCAAGCCAAGTGTTTTCATAAGGAAATGATATCACAATGATTATATAATAGGAAAGTGTATACAAACATTTCCAGAAGTATTAGAGATTGTGTGAATAAATAGTACGAATTAAGATATGCAGTTTATACGGATATTCATGTAATCGGAATATAAGTATTAGCAGCAAAACCAAAGGAAAAGATTAAAAATTAGGCAAAATTTGAGAGAAACCGTGAAACACCAAAAAATTATAGGATCAAAGCACATATATAATAAGCGATTTAGAGATTCAAAAATCGAGCACAGAATTCAGCCATATTGACAACCGTCGAAAAAACTGAAGGAGGGGAAGAGGTTTTGGATACTTCCCCAGTTGTGGATGTCTTGGTGGTGGTGGTGGTGGTTCGCCTTGTCGTCTTTGGTGTTCTCTTGGTAGTTCTTCTTGTTGTTGTTGTTCTTCTGGTTGTTGTTTTCTTTGGTTGGTTTCTTAGTTGTGGTTCTCCTGGTGGTGGTGGTGGTTCGCCTTGTCGTCTTTGGTGTTCTCTTGGTAGTTCTTCTTGTTGTTGTTGTTCTTCTGGTTGGTTTCTTAGTTGTGGTTCTCCTGGTGGTGGTGGTGGTTCGCCTTGTCGTCTTTGGTGTTCTCTTGGTAGTTCTTCTTGTTGTTGTTGTTCTTCTGGTTGGTTTCTTAGTTGTGGTTCTCCTGGTGGTGGTGGTGGTGGTTCGCCTTGTCGTCTTTGGTGTTCTCTTGGTAGTTCTTCTTGTTGTTGTTGTTCTTCTGGTTGTTGTTGTTCTTCTGGTTGGTTTCTTAGTTGTGGTTCTCCTGGTGGTGGTGGTGGTGGTGGTTCGCCTTGTCGTCTTTGGTGTTCTCTTGGTAGTTCTTCTTGTTGTTGTTGTTCTTCTGGTTGTTGTTGTTCTTCTGGTTGGTTTCTTAGTTGTGGTTCTCCTGGTGGTGGTGGTGGTTCGCCTTGTCGTCTTTGGTGTTCTCTTGGTAGTTCTTCTTGTTGTTGTTGTTCTTCTGGTTGTTGTTGTTCTTCTGGTTGGTTTCTTAGTTGTGGTTCTCCTGGTGGTGGTGGTGGTTCGCCTTGTCGTCTTTGGTGTTCTCTTGGTAGTTCTTCTTGTTGTTGTTGTTCTTCTGGTTGTTGTTGTTCTTCTGGTTGGTTTCTTAGTTGTGGTTCTCCTGGTGGTGGTGGTGGTTCGCCTTGTCGTCTTTGGTGTTCTCTTGGTAGTTCTTCTTGTTGTTGTTGTTCTTCTGGTTGTTGTTGTTCTTCTGGTTGGTTTCTTAGTTGTGGTTCTCCTGGTGGTGGTGGTGGTGGTTCGCCTTGTCGTCTTTGGTGTTCTCTTGGTAGTTCTTGTTGGTTGTTGTTGTTCTTCTGGTTGGTTTCTTAGTTGTGGTTCTCCTGGTGGTGGTGGTGGTTCGCCTTGTCGTCTTTGGTGTTCTCTTGGTAGTTCTTCTTGTTGTTGTTGTTCTTCTGGTTGTTGTTGTTCTTCTGGTTGGTTTCTTAGTTGTGGTTCTCCTGGTGGTGGTGGTGGTTCGCCTTGTCGTCTTTGGTGTTCTCTTGGTAGTTCTTCTTGTTGTTGTTGTTCTTCTGGTTGTTGTTGTTCTTCTGGTTGGTTTCTTAGTTGTGGTTCTCCTGGTGGTGGTGGTGGTGGTTCGCCTTGTCGTCTTTGGTGTTCTCTTGGTAGTTCTTCTTGTTGTTGTTGTTCTTCTGGTTGGTTTCTTAGTTGTGGTTCTCCTTGGTGGTGGTGGTGGTTCGCCTTGTCGTCTTTGGTGTTCTCTTGGTAGTTCTTCTTGTTGTTGTTGTTCTTCTGGTTGTTGTTGTTCTTCTGGTTGGTTTCTTAGTTGTGGTTCTCCTGGTGGTGGTGGTGGTGGTTCGCCTTGTCGTCTTTGGTGTTCTCTTGGTAGTTCTTCTTGTTGTTGTTGTTCTTCTGGTTGTTGTTGTTCTTCTGGTTGGTTTCTTAGTTGTGGTTCTCCTGGTGGTGGTGGTGGTGGTTCGCCTTGTCGTCTTTGGTGTTCTCTTGGTAGTTCTTCTTGTTGTTGTTGTTCTTCTGGTTGTTGTTGTTCTTCTGGTGGTAGTTGTGGTTCTCCTGGTGGTGGTGGTGTTCGCCTTGTCGTCTTTGGTGTTCTTGTAGTTCTTCTTGTTGTTGTTGTTCTTCTGGTTGGTTTCTTAGTTGTGGTTCTCCTGGTGGTGGTGGTGGTTCGCCTTGTCGTCTTTGGTGTTCTCTTGGTAGTTCTTCTTGTTGTTGTTGTTCTTCTGGTTGTTGTTGTTCTTCTGGTTGGTTTCTTAGTTGTGGTTCTCCTGGTGGTGGTGGTGGTGGTTCGCCTTGTCGTCTTTGGTGTTCTCTTGGTAGTTCTTCTTGTTGTTGTTGTTCTTCTGGTTGTTGTTGTTCTTCTGGTTGGTTTCTTAGTTGTGGTTCTCCTGTGGTGGTGGTGGTGGTTCGCCTTGTCGTCTTTGGTGTTCTCTTGGTAGTTCTTCTTGTTGTTGTTGTTCTTCTGGTTGTTGTTGTTCTTCTGGTTGGTTTCTTAGTTGTGGTTCTCCTGGTGGTGGTGGTGGTGGTTCGCCTTGTCGTCTTTGGTGTTCTCTTGGTAGTTCTTCTTGTTGTTGTTGTTCTTCTGGTTGTTGTTGTTCTTCTGGTTGGTTTCTTAGTTGTGGTTCTCCTGGTGGTGGTGGTGGTGGTTCGCCTTGTCGTCTTTGGTGTTCTCTTGGTAGTTCTTCTTGTTGTTGTTGTTCTTCTGGTTGTTGTTGTTCTTCTGGTTGGTTTCTTAGTTGTGGTTCTCCTGGTGGTGGTGGTGGTGGTTCGCCTTGTCGTCTTTGGTGTTCTCTTGGTAGTTCTTCTTGTTGTTGTTGTTCTTCTGGTTGGTTTCTTAGTTGTGGTTCTCCTGTGGTGGTGGTGGTGGTTCGCCTTGTCGTCTTTGGTGTTCTCTTGGTAGTTCTTCTTGTTGTTGTTGTTCTTCTGGTTGTTGTTGTTCTTCTGGTTGGTTTCTTAGTTGTGGTTCTCCTGGTGGTGGTGGTGGTGGTTCGCCTTGTCGTCTTTGGTGTTCTCTTGGTAGTTCTTCTTGTTGTTGTTGTTCTTCTGGTTGTTGTTGTTCTTCTGGTTGGTTTCTTAGTTGTGGTTCTCCTGGTGGTGGTGGTGGTGGTTCGCCTTGTCGTCTTTGGTGTTCTCTTGGTAGTTCTTCTTGTTGTTGTTGTTCTTCTGGTTGTTGTTGTTTTGTTTCTTAGTTGTGGTTCTCCTGGTGGTGGTGGTGGTTCGCCTTGTCGTCTTTGGTGTTCTCTTGGTAGTTCTTCTTGTTGTTGTTGTTCTTCTGGTTGTTGTTGTTCTTCTGGTTGGTTTCTTAGTTGTGGTTCTCCTGGTGGTGGTGGTGGTGGTTTCGCCTTGTCGTCTTTGGTGTTCTCTTGGTAGTTCTTCTTGTTGTTGTTGTTCTTCTGGTTGTTGTTGTTCTTCTGGTTGGTTTCTTAGTTGTGGTTCTCCTGGTGTGGTGGTGGTGGTGGTTCGCCTTGTCGTCTTTGGTGTTCTCTTGGTAGTTCTTCTTGTTGTTGTTGTTCTTCTGGTTGTTGTTGTTCTTCTGGTTGGTTTCTTAGTTGTGGTTCTCCTGGTGGTGGTGGTGGTGGTTCGCCTTGTCGTCTTTGGTGTTCTCTTGGTAGTTCTTCTTGTTGTTGTTGTTCTTCTGGTTGTTGTTGTTCTTCTGGTTGGTTTCTTAGTTGTGGTTCTCCTGGTGGTGGTGGTGGTTCGCCTTGTCGTCTTTGGTGTTCTCTTGGTAGTTCTTCTTGTTGTTGTTGTTCTTCTGGTTGTTGTTGTTCTTCTGGTTGGTTTCTTAGTTGTGGTTCTCCTGGTGGTGGTGGTGGTGGTTCGCCTTGTCGTCTTTGGTGTTCTCTTGGTAGTTCTTCTTGTTGTTGTTGTTCTTCTGGTTGTTGTTGTTCTTCTGGTTGGTTTCTTAGTTGTGGTTCTCCTGGTGGTGGTGGTGGTGGTTCGCCTTGTCGTCTTTGGTGTTCTCTTGGTAGTTCTTCTTGTTGTTGTTGTTCTTCTGGTTGTTGTTGTTCTTCTGGTTGGTTTCTTAGTTGTGGTTCTCCTGGTGGTGGTGGTGGTGGTTCGCCTTGTCGTCTTTGGTGTTCTCTTGGTAGTTCTTCTTGTTGTTGTTGTTCTTCTGGTTGTTGTTGTTCTTCTGGTTGGTTTCTTAGTTGTGGTTCTCCTGGTGGTGGTGGTGGTGGTTCGCCTTGTCGTCTTTGGTGTTCTCTTGGTAGTTCTTCTTGTTGTTGTTGTTCTTCTGGTTGTTGTTGTTCTTCTGGTTGGTTTCTTAGTTGTGGTTCTCCTGGTGGTGGTGGTGGTGGTGGTTCGCCTTGTCGTCTTTGGTGTTCTCTTGGTAGTTCTTCTTGTTGTTGTTGTTCTTCTGGTTGTTGTTGTTCTTCTGGTTGGTTTCTTAGTTGTGGTTCTCCTGGTGGTGGTGGTGGTGGTTCGCCTTGTCGTCTTTGGTGTTCTCTTGGTAGTTCTTCTTGTTGTTGTTGTTCTTCTGGTTGTTGTTGTTCTTCTGGTTGGTTTCTTAGTTGTGGTTCTCCTGGTGGTGGTGGTGGTGGTTCGCCTTGTCGTCTTTGGTGTTCTCTTGGTAGTTCTTCTTGTTGTTGTTGTTCTTCTGGTTGTTGTTGTTCTTCTGGTTGGTTTCTTAGTTGTGGTTCTCCTGGTGGTGGTGGTGGTGGTTCGCCTTGTCGTCTTTGGTGTTCTCTTGGTAGTTCTTCTTGTTGTTGTTGTTCTTCTGGTTGTTGTTGTTCTTCTGGTTGGTTTCTTAGTTGTGGTTCTCCTGGTGGTGGTGGTGGTGGTTCGCCTTGTCGTCTTTGGTGTTCTCTTGGTAGTTCTTCTTGTTGTTGTTGTTCTTCTGGTTGTTGTTGTTCTTCTGGTTGGTTTCTTAGTTGTGGTTCTCCTGGTGGTGGTGGTGGTGGTGGTTCGCCTTGTCGTCTTTGGTGTTCTCTTGGTAGTTCTTCTTGTTGTTGTTGTTCTTCTGGTTGTTGTTGTTCTTCTGGTTGGTTTCTTAGTTGTGGTTCTCCTGGTGGTGGTGGTGGTGGTTCGCCTTGTCGTCTTTGGTGTTCTCTTGGTAGTTCTTCTTGTTGTTGTTGTTCTTCTGGTTGTTGTTGTTCTTCTGGTTGGTTTCTTAGTTGTGGTTCTCCTGGTGGTGGTGGTGGTGGTTCGCCTTGTCGTCTTTGGTGTTCTCTTGGTAGTTCTTCTTGTTGTTGTTGTCTTCTGGTTGTTGTTGTTCTTCTGGTTGGTTTCTTAGTTGTGGTTCTCCTGGTGGTGGTGGTGGTGGTTCGCCTTGTCGTCTTTGGTGTTCTCTTGGTAGTTCTTCTTGTTGTTGTTGTTCTTCTGGTTGTTGTTGTTCTTCTGGTTGGTTTCTTAGTTGTGGTTCTCCTGGTGGTGGTGGTGGTGGTTCGCCTTGTCGTCTTTGGTGTTCTCTTGGTAGTTCTTCTTGTTGTTGTTGTTCTTCTGGTTGTTGTTGTTCTTCTGGTTGGTTTCTTAGTTGTGGTTCTCCTGGTGGTGGTGGTGGTGGTGGTTCGCCTTGTCGTCTTTGGTGTTCTCTTGGTAGTTCTTCTTGTTGTTGTTGTTCTTCTGGTTGTTGTTGTTCTTCTGGTTGGTTTCTTAGTTGTGGTTCTCCTGGTGGTGGTGGTGGTGGTTTCGCCTTGTCGTCTTTGGTGTTCTCTTGGTAGTTCTTCTTGTTGTTGTTGTTCTTCTGGTTGTTGTTGTTCTTCTGGTTGGTTTCTTAGTTGTGGTTCTCCTGGTGGTGGTGGTGGTGGTTCGCCTTGTCGTCTTTGGTGTTCTCTTGGTAGTTCTTCTTGTTGTTGTTGTTCTTCTGGTTGTTGTTGTTCTTCTGGTTGGTTTCTTAGTTGTGGTTCTCCTGGTGGTGGTGGTGGTGGTGGTTCGCCTTGTCGTCTTTGGTGTTCTCTTGGTAGTTCTTCTTGTTGTTGTTGTTCTTCTGGTTGTTGTTGTTCTTCTGGTTGGTTTCTTAGTTGTGGTTCTCCTGGTGGTGGTGGTGGTGGTTCGCCTTGTCGTCTTTGGTGTTCTCTTGGTAGTTCTTCTTGTTGTTGTTGTTCTTCTGGTTGTTGTTGTTCTTCTGGTTGGTTTCTTAGTTGTGGTTCTCCTGGTGGTGGTGGTGGTGGTGGTTCGCCTTGTCGTCTTTGGTGTTCTCTTGGTAGTTCTTCTTGTTGTTGTTGTTCTTCTGGTTGTTGTTGTTCTTCTGGTTGGTTTCTTAGTTGTGGTTCTCCTGGTGGTGGTGGTGGTGGTTCGCCTTGTCGTCTTTGGTGTTCTCTTGGTAGTTCTTCTTGTTGTTGTTGTTCTTCTTGTTGTTGTTGTTCTTCTGGTTGGTTTCTTAGTTGTGGTTCTCCTGGTGGTGGTGGTGGTGGTTCGCCTTGTCGTCTTTGGTGTTCTCTTGGTAGTTCTTCTTGTTGTTGTTGTTCTTCTGGTTGTTGTTGTTCTTCTGGTTGGTTTCTTAGTTGTGGTTCTCCTGGTGGTGGTGGTGGTGGTTCGCCTTGTCGTCTTTGGTGTTCTCTTGGTAGTTCTTCTTGTTGTTGTTGTTCTTCTGGTTGTTGTTGTTCTTCTGGTTGGTTTCTTAGTTGTGGTTCTCCTGGTGGTGGTGGTGGTGGTTCGCCTTGTCGTCTTTGGTGTTCTCTTGGTAGTTCTTCTTGTTGTTGTTGTTCTTCTGGTTGTTGTTGTTCTTCTGGTTGGTTTCTTAGTTGTGGTTCTCCTGGTGGTGGTGGTGGTGGTGGTTCGCCTTGTCGTCTTTGGTGTTCTCTTGGTAGTTCTTCTTGTTGTTGTTGTTCTTCTGGTTGTTGTTGTTCTTCTGGTTGGTTTCTTAGTTGTGGTTCTCCTGGTGGTGGTGGTGGTGGTGGTTCGCCTTGTCGTCTTTGGTGTTCTCTTGGTAGTTCTTCTTGTTGTTGTTGTTCTTCTGGTTGTTGTTGTTCTTCTGGTTGGTTTCTTAGTTGTGGTTCTCCTGGTGGTGGTGGTGGTGGTGGTTCGCCTTGTCGTCTTTGGTGTTCTCTTGGTAGTTCTTCTTGTTGTTGTTGTTCTTCTGGTTGTTGTTGTTCTTCTGGTTGGTTTCTTAGTTGTGGTTCTCCTGGTGGTGGTGGTGGTGGTGGTTCGCCTTGTCGTCTTTGGTGTTCTCTTGGTAGTTCTTCTTGTTGTTGTTGTTCTTCTGGTTGTTGTTGTTCTTCTGGTTGGTTTCTTAGTTGTGGTTCTCCTGGTGGTGGTGGTGGTGGTTCGCCTTGTCATCTTTGGTGTTCTCTTGGTAGTTCTTCTTGTTGTTGTTGTTCTTCTGGTTGTTGTTGTTCTTCTGGTTGGTTCTCGTGGTGGTGGTGGTGGTTCGCCTTGTCGTCTTTGGTGTTCTCTTGGTAGTTCTTCTTGTTGTTGTTGTTCTTCTGGTTGTTGTTGTTCTTCTGGTTGGTTTCTTAGTTGTGGTTCTCCTGGTGGTGGTGGTGGTGGTTCGCCTTGTCGTCTTTGGTGTTCTCTTGGTAGTTCTTCTTGTTGTTGTTGTTCTTCTGGTTGTTGTTGTTCTTCTGGTTGGTTTCTTAGTTGTGGTTCTCCTGGTGGTGGTGGTGGTGGTTCGCCTTGTCGTCTTTGGTGTTCTCTTGGTAGTTCTTCTTGTTGTTGTTGTTCTTCTGGTTGTTGTTGTTCTTCTGGTTGGTTTATTAGTTGTGCTTTTTCTGGTGGTGGTGGTGGTGATACTTCGCCTTGTCGTCTTTGGTGTTCTCTTGGTAGTTCTTCTTGTTGTTGTTGTTCTTCTAGTTGTTGTTGTTCTTCTGGTTGGTTTCTTAGTTGTGGTTCTCCTGGTGGTGGTGGTGGTGGTGAGAAGCCTTGTCGTCTTTGGTGTTCTCTTGGTAGTTCTTCTTGTTGTTGTTGTTCTTCTGGTTGTTGTTGTTCTTCTGGTTGGTTTCTTAGTTGTGGTTCTCCTGGTGGTGGTGGTGGTTGTTCGCCTTGTCGTCTTTGGTGTTCTCTTGGTAGTTCTTCTTGTTGTTGTTGTTCTTCTGGTTGTTGTTGTTCTTCTGGTTGGTTTCTTAGTTGTGGTTCTCCTGGTGGTGGTGGTGGTGGAGATTCGCCTTGTCGTCTTTGGTGTTCTCTTGGTAGTTCTTCTTGTTGTTGTTGTTCTTCTGGTTGTTGTTGTTCTTCTGGTTGGTTTCTTAGTTGTGGTTCTCCTGGTGGTGGTGGTGGTGGTTCGCCTTGTCGTCTTTGGTGTTCTCTTGGTAGTTCTTCTTGTTGTTGTTGTTCTTCTGGTTGTTGTTGTTCTTCTGGTTGGTTTCTTAGTTGTGGTTCTCCTGGTGGTGGTGGTGGTAGTTCGCCTTGTCGTCTTTGGTGTTACCCAGGTAGCCATTCTTGTTGTTGTTGTTCTTCTGGTTGTTGTTGTTCTTCTGGTTGGTTTCTTAGTTGTGGTTCTCCTGGTGGTGGTGGTGGTGGTTCGCCTTGTCGTCTTTGGTGTTCTCTTGGTAGTTCTTCTTGTTGTTGTTGTTCTTCTGGTTGTTGTTGTTCTTCTGGTTGGTTTCTTAGTTGTGGTTCTCCTGGTGGTGGTGGTGGTGGTAGTTCGCCTTGTCGTCTTTGGTGTTCTCTTGGTAGTTCTTCTTGTTGTTGTTGTTCTTCTGGTTGTTGTTGTTCTTCTGGTTGGTTTCTTAGTTGTGGTTCTCCTGGTGGTGGTGGTGGTGGTTCGCCTTGTCGTCTTTGGTGTTCTCTTGGTAGTTCTTCTTGTTGTTGTTGTTCTTCTGGTTGTTGTTGTTCTTCTGGTTGGTTTCTTAGTTGTGGTTCTCCTGGTGGTGGTGGTGGTGGTTCGCCTTGTCGTCTTTGGTGTTCTCTTGGTAGTTCTTCTTGTTGTTGTTGTTCTACTGGATGTTGTTGTTCTTCTGGTTGGTTTCTTAGTTGTGGTTCTCCTGGTGGTGGTGGTGGTGATTCGCCTTGTCGTCTTTGGTGTTCTCTTGGTAGTTCTTCTTGTTGTTGTTGTTCTTCTGGTTGTTGTTGTTCTTCTGGTTGGTTTCTTAGTTGTGGTTCTCCTGGTGGTGGTGGTGGTGGTGGTTCGCCTTGTCGTCTTTGGTGTTCTCTTGGTAGTTCTTCTTGTTGTTGTTGTTCTTCTGGTTGTTGTTGTTCTTCTGGTTGGTTTCTTAGTTGTGGTTCTCCTGGTGGTGGTGGTGGTGGATCGCCTTGTCGTCTTTGGTGTTCTCTTGGTAGTTCTTCTTGTTGTTGTTGTTCTTCTGGTTGTTGTTGTTCTTCTGGTTGGTTTCTTAGTTGTGGTTCTCCTGGTGGTGGTGGTGGTGGTTCGCCTTGTCGTCTTTGGTGTTCTCTTGGTAGTTCTTCTTGTTGTTGTTGTTCTTCTGGTTGTTGTTGTTCTTCTGGTTGGTTTCTCGCTAAATCTACTGGTGGTGGTGGTGGTGGTGGTTCGCCTTGTCGTCTTTGGTGTTCTCTTGGTAGTTCTTCTTGTTGTTGTTGTTCTTCTGGTTGTTGTTGTTCTTCTGGTTGGTTTCTTAGTTGTGGTTCTCCTGGTGGTGGTGGTGGTGGTTCGCCTTGTCGTCTTTGGTGTTCTCTTGGTAGTTCTTCTTGTTGTTGTTGTTCTTCTGGTTGTTGTTGTTCTTCTGGTTGGTTTCTTAGTTGTGGTTCTCCTGGTGGTGGTGGTGGTGGTTCGCCTTGTCGTCTTTGGTGTTCTCTTGGTAGTTCTTCTTGTTGTTGTTGTTCTTCTGGTTGTTGTTGTTCTTCTGGTTGGTTTCTTAGTTGTGGTTCTCCTGGTGGTGGTGGTGGTGGTTCGCCTTGTCGTCTTTGGTGTTCTCTTGGTAGTTCTTCTTGTTGTTGTTGTTCTTCTGGTTGTTGTTGTTCTTCTGGTTGGTTTCTTAGTTGTGGTTCTCCTGGTGGTGGTGGTGGTGCTTCGCCTTGTCAACCTTGGTGTTCTCTTGGTAGTTCTTCTTGTTGTTGTTGTTCTTCTGGTTGTTGTTGTTCTTCTGGTTGGTTTCTTAGTTGTGGTTCTCCTGGTGGTGGTGGTGGTGGTGGTTCGCCTTGTCGTCTTTGGTGTTCTCTTGGTAGTTCTTCTTGTTGTTGTTGTTCTTCTGGTTGTTGTTGTTCTTCTGGTTGGTTTCTTAGTTGTGGTTCTCCTGGTGGTGGTGGTGGTGGTGGTTCGCCTTGTCGTCTTTGGTGTTCTCTTGGTAGTTCTTCTTGTTGTTGTTGTTCTTCTGGTTGTTGTTGTTCTTCTGGTTGGTTTCTTAGTTGTGGTTCTCCTGGTGGTGGTGGTGGTGGTGGTTCGCCTTGTCGTCTTTGGTGTTCTCTTGGTAGTTCTTCTTGTTGTTGTTGTTCTTCTGGTTGTTGTTGTTCTTCTGGTTGGTTTCTTAGTTGTGGTTCTCCTGGTGGTGGTGGTGGTGGTTCGCCTTGTCGTCTTTGGTGTTCTCTTGGTAGTTCTTCTTGTTGTTGTTGTTCTTCTGGTTGTTGTTGTTCTTCTGGTTGGTTTCTTAGTTGTGGTTCTCCTGGTGGTGGTGGTGGTGGTTCGCCTTGTCGTCTTTGGTGTTCTCTTGGTAGTTCTTCTTGTTGTTGTTGTTCTTCTGGTTGTTGTTGTTCTTCTGGTTGGTTTCTTAGTTGTGGTTCTCCTGGTGGTGGTGGTGGTGGTTCGCCTTGTCGTCTTTGGTGTTCTCTTGGTAGTTCTTCTTGTTGTTGTTGTTCTTCTGGTTGTTGTTGTTCTTCTGGTTGGTTTCTTAGTTGTGGTTCTCCTGGTGGTGGTGGTGGTGGTTCGCCTTGTCGTCTTTGGTGTTCTCTTGGTAGTTCTTCTTGTTGTTGTTGTTCTTCTGGTTGTTGTTGTTCTTCTGGTTGGTTTCTTAGTTGTGGTTCTCCTGGTGGTGGTGGTGGTGGTTCGCCTTGTCGTCTTTGGTGTTCTCTTGGTAGTTCTTCTTGTTGTTGTTGTTCTTCTGGTTGTTGTTGTTCTTCTGGTTGGTTTCTTAGTTGTGGTTCTCCTGGTGGTGGTGGTGGTGGTTCGCCTTGTCGTCTTTGGTGTTCTCTTGGTAGTTCTTCTTGTTGTTGTTGTTCTTCTGGTTGTTGTTGTTCTTCTGGTTGGTTTCTTAGTTGTGGTTCTCCTGGTGGTGGTGGTGGTGGTTCGCCTTGTCGTCTTTGGTGTTCTCTTGGTAGTTCTTCTTGTTGTTGTTGTTCTTCTGGTTGTTGTTGTTCTTCTGGTTGGTTTCTTAGTTGTGGTTCTCCTGGTGGTGGTGGTGGTGGTTCGCCTTGTCGTCTTTGGTGTTCTCTTGGTAGTTCTTCTTGTTGTTGTTGTTCTTCTGGTTGTTGTTGTTCTTCTGGTTGGTTTCTTAGTTGTGGTTCTCCTGGTGGTGGTGGTGGTGGTTCGCCTTGTCGTCTTTGGTGTTCTCTTGGTAGTTCTTCTTGTTGTTGTTGTTCTTCTGGTTGTTGTTGTTCTTCTGGTTGGTTTCTTAGTTGTGGTTCTCCTGGTGGTGGTGGTGGTGGTTCGCCTTGTCGTCTTTGGTGTTCTCTTGGTAGTTCTTCTTGTTGTTGTTGTTCTTCTGGTTGTTGTTGTTCTTCTGGTTGGTTTCTTAGTTGTGGTTCTCCTGGTGGTGGTGGTGGTGGTTCGCCTTGTCGTCTTTGGTGTTCTCTTGGTAGTTCTTCTTGTTGTTGTTGTTCTTCTGGTTGTTGTTGTTCTTCTGGTTGGTTTCTTAGTTGTGGTTCTCCTGGTGGTGGTGGTGGTGGTTCGCCTTGTCGTCTTTGGTGTTCTCTTGGTAGTTCTTCTTGTTGTTGTTGTTCTTCTGGTTGTTGTTGTTCTTCTGGTTGGTTTCTTAGTTGTGGTTCTCCTGGTGGTGGTGGTGGTGGTTCGCCTTGTCGTCTTTGGTGTTCTCTTGGTAGTTCTTCTTGTTGTTGTTGTTCTTCTGGTTGTTGTTGTTCTTCTGGTTGGTTTCTTAGTTGTGGTTCTCCTGGTGGTGGTGGTGGTGGTTCGCCTTGTCGTCTTTGGTGTTCTCTTGGTAGTTCTTCTTGTTGTTGTTGTTCTTCTGGTTGTTGTTGTTCTTCTGGTTGGTTTCTTAGTTGTGGTTCTCCTGGTGGTGGTGGTGGTGGTTCGCCTTGTCGTCTTTGGTGTTCTCTTGGTAGTTCTTCTTGTTGTTGTTGTTCTTCTGGTTGTTGTTGTTCTTCTGGTTGGTTTCTTAGTTGTGGTTCTCCTGGTGGTGGTGGTGGTAAAATTCGCCTTGTCGTCTTTGGTGTTCTCTTGGTAGTTCTTCTTGTTGTTGTTGTTCTTCTGGTTGTTGTTGTTCTTCTGGTTGGTTTCTTAGTTGTGGTTCTCCTGGTGGTGGTGGTGGTGGTATTCGCCTTGTCGTCTTTGGTGTTCTCTTGGTAGTTCTTCTTGTTGTTGTTGTTCTTCTGGTTGTTGTTGTTCTTCTGGTTGGTTTCTTAGTTGTGGTTCTCCTGGTGGTGGTGGTGGTGGTTCGCCTTGTCGTCTTTGGTGTTCTCTTGGTAGTTCTTCTTGTTGTTGTTGTTCTTCTGGTTGTTGTTGTTCTTCTGGTTGGTTTCTTAGTTGTGGTTCTCCTGGTGGTGGTGGTGGTGATTCGCCTTGTCGTCTTTGGTGTTCTCTTGGTAGTTCTTCTTGTTGTTGTTGTTCTTCTGGTTGTTGTTGTTCTTCTGGTTGGTTTCTTAGTTGTGGTTCTCCTGGTGGTGGTGGTGGTAATAGGTCGCCTTGTCGTCTTTGGTGTTCTCTTGGTAGTTCTTCTTGTTGTTGTTGTTCTTCTGGTTGTTGTTGTTCTTCTGGTTGGTTTCTTAGTTGTGGTTCTCCTGGTGGTGGTGGTGGTGATGTCGCCTTGTCGTCTTTGGTGTTCTCTTGGTAGTTCTTCTTGTTGTTGTTGTTCTTCTGGTTGTTGTTGTTCTTCTGGTTGGTTTCTTAGTTGTGGTTCTCCTGGTGGTGGTGGTGGTAGTTCGCCTTGTCGTCTTTGGTGTTCTCTTGGTAGTTCTTCTTGTTGTTGTTGTTCTTCTGGTTGTTGTTGTTCTTCTGGTTGGTTTCTTAGTTGTGGTTCTCTTGGTGGTGGTGGTGGTGGATCGCCTTGTCGTCTTTGGTGTTCTCTTGGTAGTTCTTCTTGTTGTTGTTGTTCTTCTGGTTGTTGTTGTTCTTCTGGTTGGTTTCTTAGTTGTGGTTCTCCTGGTGGTGGTGGTGGTGTAGTTCGCCTTGTCGTCTTTGGTGTTCTCTTGGTAGTTCTTCTTGTTGTTGTTGTTCTTCTGGTTGTTGTTGTTCTTCTGGTTGGTTTCTTAGTTGTGGTTCTCCTGGTGGTGGTGGTGGTTCAGTTCGCCTTGTCGTCTTTGGTGTTCTCTTGGTAGTTCTTCTTGTTGTTGTTGTTCTTCTGGTTGTTGTTGTTCTTCTGGTTGGTTTCTTAGTTGTGGTTCTCCTGGTGGTGGTGGTGGTGACGTTCGCCTTGTCGTCTTTGGTGTTCTCTTGGTAGTTCTTCTTGTTGTTGTTGTTCTTCTGGTTGTTGTTGTTCTTCTGGTTGGTTTCTTAGTTGTGGTTCTCCTGGTGGTGGTGGTGGTAGTTCGCCTTGTCGTCTTTGGTGTTCTCTTGGTAGTTCTTCTTGTTGTTGTTGTTCTTCTGGTTGTTGTTGTTCTTCTGGTTGGTTTCTTAGTTGTGGTTCTCCTGGTGGTGGTGGTGGTGTCTTCGCCTTGTCGTCTTTGGTGTTCTCTTGGTAGTTCTTCTTGTTGTTGTTGTTCATCTGGTTGTTGTTGTTCTTCTGGTTGGTTTCTTAGTTGTGGTTCTCCTGGTGGTGGTGGTGGTGGTGATCGCCTTGTCGTCTTTGGTGTTCTCTTGTAGTTTTCTTGTTGTTGTTGTTTTCGGTTGTTGTTGTTCTTCTGTTTCTTAGTTTGGTTCTCCTGCTGTGGTGGTGGTGGGATCGCCTTGTGTCTTTGGTGTTCTCTTGGTAGTTCTTCTTGTTGTTGTTGTTCTTCTGGTTGTTGTTGTTATTCTGGTTATTTTATTAGTTACGACTCTCCTGTGATGGTCTGAATCGCCTTTTCGTCACTGTGATCTCTTGACAGTTTTACTTATTCATGTTATACTTCTGGTTATCTTTATTCTTCTGGTTGATTTCTTAGTTGTGGTTCTCCTGGTGGTGGTGGTCGTAACATTTCGCCTTGTCGTCTTTGGTGTTCTATTGGTAGTGCCTCTTCCCAAAATTATACTACCGGATGTTATTGATCTTATGATATGTTACTTAATTATTGTTCTCCACGTGGTGATTAAACTATGTAACCTAATCATATTTTATTTTTTCATACTAGTTATTCATGTTCATGTATTTCACCTGGTTGACCTAATTCTCCTCACCGGTATATTAACTGTGGCTATCCTGGTGGAGACTCTGATAATACTTCGCCTTATAGAATTAGCTGTTATCAAGGTAGTTAATCATATGGTTGCTGTACTACTGATTGTTACAACTCTTCTGGTTGTTTTCTTACTTGACCTTCTCCTAATTCTGGTAATCATAATGTTTGCATTTTCATCTCAGCCATGATCTTGGTAGATCCCCTTGTTTACAATGAACATCTGGTAGACGTAGCACTTCTACTTGGTTTCTTAGTTATGAATAATCTGATGGTGATTGTAAATATCACTCGCCATGAAATCATTGGTGATAACTTGCCAGTTCTTCTTGTTGTTGTTGTTCAACTGGTTGAGATTAATCACCTGATTGGTTACTTAGTTCTAGACAACCTGATGGTGTTAAAAACAAAATATCGCCGTGTATGATTCGGTGTTATACTAGTAACACTCAATGTAGATCATATCCTTCAGGATGATATAGTTATTCTGATTAGCTTCTTAGTTATGGAACTCCTGTTGATACTGGTACTCTTGATTCGAACTATCGTAATTGGTGTTCTCTTGGCAGTTCTTCTTTTTGTGGTTAATCTTATGGGAGTGAATGTACATGTGAATGGATTAGTCGTTCTGAGTCTCCTGAAAATGGTGGTGCTATTGACCCCTAGGCATATTCGGTTTTCTGTTAGCAGTCATTATTGTTGTTGTTGATCAACTGGTTGTTTTAGCTCATCTGCATGGTATCACAGCAGTAGTGCTCCTAACCATGCAGATGGTGATGGTTCGAATCGCCGTCAACCGACGTCACTCGGTAGCTCTACCACTTGTTGCTAAGCCAGTAATAAGACTTTTAGAAGAGGTTCTCCTGAAGGTTGTGGTGGTAGGTCGCCTAGTCGTCCATAGTATTAAAAAAATAGATCTACCTACTATTACCGAACTACAAGTTCCTGTCGTTCTTCTGGTAGGTTTAATAAAAGTAAATCAACCCGTCTCAGTGCTTGTTCGTCATGTAGTCACTGGTATTAATATGATAGCATGAACTACCTGAGTAATTGTTAGAATTTTTGGCTCTCAAAATTAAAGTAGTTTCAAGCTCATGTCCAACCACAGGTTATTCATATCTGACCCAAAGATAGACAGTAACTCACAGAATGATTGAATTTCGACAATGGAATTACTGACTCAAATCCCACTCTGATCAAGTAGAACATTTTGTCACAGTCATTTACTTCACAAATTGGAAGATCGGCATACATACATTGGACTGACAGAAATACCCTAAAAAATATGCATTTCGCAAGTGATTTATGTTTCATTTCTCAACAAGTGGACAGGAGAAACGCCAAAGATAAGATATCAGGTTAACAAACATAAGACATCAGAGATGGAGATACCTAATAAACAATAGGTCATCACCAAAAGGAGAAATGTAAAGCAATAAGTCCCTTTCAATTACTTTGGCAGCATTATTTCAACTACAGGTCGTACAGATAAGATTGTCAAAGTCAGTCAAGATCGGAAAAGCCAGACAGATAGTCATTGATATGAAATCGTTTCAGGGATCTAGAGCACCAATTAAGCACATAAGACAGGCCCGGAATATCCAAAGCTTCTGTCAAGTCAGTGTCTCTATACGGTCGAGAGACTCGTGTGCGCATCACCATTATCAGCGGCTACCTTCGATTTGTTGATAGCAAAGATCGGGTGGCCAGAGAGAATTAGAAGGCAGTAATCAACTCTAGCAATAAACCAACCAAGAACTTAATATCTAGGAAAGATGCGGAAGGAAATGCAGATTGATTGGTCATACTCTAAGGAGACATTCAATTGACACCACACACCGGTTCTTAGAATGGTACCCGAAACGGAAGTGATGAGTTAGTTGGGTGTGGGTTCAAGCATTTCATAGTGATCCCGCGAAGACGAAATGAAAGTTTATGGACAATTCTACAATGGGCTTGAAAAACCTGCAGAGGACAATACACTAGAGACATTTTTCCGTGTAGCCCTTGTTTCATTCGGAATTGAAGCAACAAACGATAAAAATAATCTTATAGATCAATTCGTTGCATGTGATCGCACAACATATGGAGTAAAACATTACTACTAGTGTTTTCATCAAATATACTGCTATGTTTAGGCAGTCAGAATGATATCATTTACAAGGAAGACGAAAGTCACTTACAGTTCGATTGTCCCTGCACCTGCCCAATTTTGACCGACATATTGAAATGGGGAAACTTTTCTGTCCACAGCTCTGTCATGTCCAGCACGACACTGTTCGGATAATGTTTGTGCCTTCTTTTCCAGTTCCAGATTGTATTTCTGAAATATTTGAAATTGGAATCCATAAAATCCACTTAAATCTTAATGACTGTCTCAGTGAAGTCGTTATACAAAGGTGTGTGGAGATAACTATACCACCCATTTAATAATTGTATCAGTTCAAAAATGTTGTGTCATGAAAACATTTGGGAATTTCAACAATAAATACGCATTTCGTGTTCATATGTACTTCAACCATTTGAAAGATGGGAGTAAAGCCTGCCTACTAGCATGCATCAATCACGGTTGATGAATTCGGTAATGTTCTATTGTTGGCCTCTCAAGTCTTATAAAGGATTGTATTCAACCGTGAAACATGCCAGCACAAAAATCAGCTATTCAGACATCATTGAAAGTACTCAGTAGAGTATATATATATATATATATATATATATATATATATATATATATATATAAATACATTAATTGATACTGATTTATCTTACCATTGGTTCGATAGAAACGGCTGTCGGTTGTCCTTTGAGTTGACCATCCGAACAGTTTGTCTTACATCATTGTGAAGGGTGAGAAATTTGTTTCTCAATGTGTCGTTCATTCTTCCATTGACACGAGAAAGTAGGATGAAGCACATGCATAGTAGAATGAGTGGTGGACGTCGAATGAAATGCATTTCTGTTGATCTTAACCTCATGTTGCATTGGTATAACAATGGGATAGCTCAACTGTTTACCGTCGAATTGAACATTCACATGTACATATATATATCCTCAGGAGAACTAATCTGATCGATTCAAATCTCATAAGCTGCCTGGAGCATTTAAACGTCAATAAGAATTATGTTTTGCTTAATAAATGTAACTCATTTTGGGTCAACCGATTGATCAGTGTTAATCTCCACAGATAAAGAATGACATCTTCTTGAGGAATCATAATTGAAGATGGTGTTATGGCTGTATAACAACCCCCTTTCATTGTAATAGAGAACACCTGTTCGTTTGAGGTAAAGGCTATAAATCGTTGTACTTAAAGGTGAAGTGTATAATACTGTAATGTATTATTAATCCTGTCAACTGACGCCTGCTACATACGAACTGACCTCAGTAAATGAAAGTCACTAGAGAGACTAAAGAGCTTTTGCACTACTTCAGGCAAATAATCCGTCTCTCTAAATTAACTCATGTTTTATTTCGTTTCTCTCGTACAGTTTTGATTGTTGCATCTCACATCTACTTGTTCAGAAACCTTCAATTAAACTTGACGAGGCTTTTCTAATAAGGAGGCTAATGACTGGATATTTTTTCAAAGAATGTTGATCAAGTCATGATATTAAGTGTTATCACAATAATTTATGATTACAAAGCAGTGGGGCGAATGAGCAACTACTATCCAATAAGTATACAAAGGATATTTAAGACGGCTTGTACATTCCCTGAGTTTGTCTTCACTTACCACGCCCCCAAGAGGAATTTTTAAATGAATCAATGGATTTTTTGAACTTTGGAGGGTAAAATGTTTCGCAGAGGGATGATGCATTTACAAAACATCAAGCTTCAAATTTAAAAGGCTGCAAATCTTGACATTCACATTCTAGGGAGACGTTACTTGCCATCATTGCTTCTATGAGCATGGTACAATTTCAAAATCTTTGATTTCCACCTTTAAAAATCTATAAAGACTATAACACAGTCTGTCATTCGGATGGTGCAGCTTTTCATTGTAACTTGTGAGTTTACAAGCTATTCAATATGAATGTTTTCGTGCACGGATACGACTCTGTTGAAACAATAATGATATTCGTGCAGATATCAGGTATTAATCTTCGCAGATGCTAATTTCCCCTTTACAGGGAGAATCGTATTTAATCGTCAAACACCACGTCAAATCAAAAATACGGGATGAAATTCGGAATATTTAAGACGAAGAAGGTATTGACTGAAAGCTAAGAGCGGGTTGGTAGTAGTGAGTTTCTCTCTGTGAACACATATTCTCAGCGTCACCATTCGAGTCGAGACAGCTTGATCAGTTTGAGGTAGAATTGAGGGAAGGCGGGAGAAATAAGTCAGTATTGCACTAAAGCTGATAGGAGACATTAACATTCATCAGATT